GAAGGGATGAATGAATAATAGCTGAATAAAGGAAAGAATGAACAAGTAGTCCTCTCTTTCCTAGGCTGCTGAGTGTGCAGGGAAGCTGTTTCTGTTCCATACCTCCCTGCCCATTGCAGAGGCCCCAGGGAAACTGAAGAACAGAGACGACAGGAAGTTGATCAACACAGACAAGGAGAAGGTGTGGGTTTGGGAGATGGGGGGAGGACTTTCCATGACAGAGGAAGGTGCTCATTCTTGCAATGCAATGCAATACTCTTAACTTGCTTGAAGAGGTACTGGAACTAGACACTCTGCTCTTTCACATGTCAAGTCCATGACTGCCAACTTTCTTCAGTGCTCCCACACATCTCTACCCCATTTCATCCCAAAGCCCGGGACAGATTTTTTTTTTTTTAGAGAATGTTCTACTACTGTTGGAAATACCTATGAAGTAGATCTGAAGTCTTACATATATTTGAATATCCCATATTAAATATATAGTTCTCGGGGTGCCTGGGTGGCTCAGTTGGTTAAGCGACTGCCTTCGGCTCAGGTCATGATCCTGGAGTCCCAGAATCGAGTCCCACATCGGGCTTCCTGCTCGGCAGGAAATCTGCTTCTCCCCCTGACCCTTTCCCCTCTCATGCTCCCTCTCACTCTCGCTCTCTCAAATGGATAAATAAAATCTTAAAAAAAAAAAAAAAATATATATATATATATATATATATATAGTTCTCAAGTAGGGTGGAGCTGAGATATTTGAATGTTTTATTCTGTTCCTCCCCAGACTCTGTTCCAGCCTCAGACAGGTGCCTATCAGACCCTGGCCAAAGAGTGTGTGGCCCAAGGCTGCTGTGTAGATCTCTTCCTCTTCCCTAACCAGTATGTGGATGTGGCCACGCTCTCTGTTGTACCCCAGCTCACTGGTGGCTCTGTCTACAAATATGCTTGCTTTCAGGTAGGGCATGGGACTCTGGGTGGCAGGTGGAAGCAGGACTAGAATGTCTGCCTACATGCAGAGCAGCTCTTTAGCTGCTGACTCATTAATAGGAATCCTGGTGGGGGAGAAAACCCTATAAGATAAAGAAGAGAGCCATAAGTGTAGTGGTTAGGAGCATGGGGCTTGTAATCAGTTTTGGGTTGTTATTCTGGCCCTCCCAGAATACTAGCAGTATGACCTAGGAGAAATTAATTATTGCTTCTTTGTTTCTTCATCTGTAAAATGGGAATTTAATATTTCTTAAGTAAGATTTGTCATCAGGATCAAGTTGTTATATGTAAAGTACTTAATGTGGTACTTGGCACATAGTAAATGCTTAAAAACTATCATTGTCATTATCATCATTATTGTCATCTTCACTGTTATTGTTATTATGATTCAGCAGCTTGTAGAATGGAGGGGATGCAGGGAGATAGTCTCCAGGTTGTTATGTAGTCAGTGATGTGACTCTGGGCCTGGGGGGCTGCAGGTGGAGAATGACCAGGAACGGTTCCTGAGTGACCTGCGTCGGGATGTCCAGAAGGTTGTTGGCTTTGATGCTGTGATGCGTGTTCGGACAAGCACTGGTCAGTCCTGGTTGGAGAGGAGCAGGTTGGGGACTAAACCCGGGAGGGGGGCAAGTGGCACCTATAATATCTGTAGCCCTGACCTTATCTATGTGGCCTCAGGTATCCGTGCTGTCGATTTCTTCGGGGCTTTCTACATGAGCAACACAACAGATGTGGAGCTGGCTGGGCTGGATGGGGACAAGACAGTGACTGTGGAGTTCAAGCATGACGATCGGCTCAATGAAGAGAGTGGAGCCCTCCTGCAGGTAGCAGGCGGGAGGCAGGGGCTGGGGAGGAAGTGTCAAATATCATTGTACTGGATATAAATAGGCTGCAGGGAAGAGGGAGGGTAGGAGGTGGGTGGAGAGGACTGGAAGAGGCCAGGGAAGGGATGGCTCCTGTCTTTCTTCTAGCTTAATAATACAGCAAAGGAGCAGTTTTTCAGAGGGCTTTGGTGAGGGAGGGGTATGAGTTCTCCCTTGCTCCTTTCCCCTAGTGTGCCCTGCTCTACACCAGCTGTGCAGGGCAGCGACGGCTCCGTATCCACAATCTGGCCCTGAACTGCTGCACCCAGCTGGCTGATCTGTATCGAAACTGTGAGACTGACACGCTCATCAACTACATGGCCAAGTTTGGTGAGGGTAGAGGCAGGGAGGGCGAAGTGGGATTGGGGCTGAAAGGTGGTTGTCAGTGATTCCGCATTCCCAGGTAGGTGTGGTGGCAGCAAAGCAGGTGCAATGGGGTGGCCAGCCAGTGACTGTGCTATCTCCCTTTCCCATCCAGCATACCGGGGGGTGCTTAATAGCCCCGTGAAGACTGTCCGTGATACTCTCATCACTCAGTGTGCCCAGATCCTGGCCTGTTACAGAAAGAACTGTGCCAGCCCCTCCTCTGCGGGACAGGTGGGCAAACACTGGAGGAATTGTTGGGACACATGTTCGCATTTGGGAGAGATTGCCCATGATCATTCACTTTATTTTGGTAACCCCTGCAGTTGATCCTTCCTGAGTGCATGAAGCTACTCCCAGTTTACCTGAACTGTGTGTTGAAGAGTGACGTCCTGCAGCCTGGAGCTGAGGTTACTACTGATGACCGTGCCTATGTCCGACAGCTGGTTACTTCCATGGATGTGGCTGAGACCAATGTCTTCTTTTATCCTCGGCTTCTACCATTGGTGCGACTGAGGGCTGGATGAGACATTGTGTGCTGAGAAAAGGGTATCATAGGAGGAAGGGAAGGGTTAATATTATCTGTGTCTGACCCTAGTGAATTTGTTTTTAACCTGCATTATCTGATGTAATTTTCACACTGAAAAAGTTACTGAGAGATTGAGCTCTCTGAAATTTCGTTGGGGTGGGGGTGCAAATGTGTCTTACAGTCTTTGGTAAATAACCTTTGCCCCCTTCCTTTTGTCTAGACAAAGTCTCCCATTGAGAGTGCCACTGAACCACCAGCAGTTCGAGCATCTGAAGAACGTCTAAGCAATGGGGATATATATTTGCTGGAGAATGGGCTCAACCTTTTCCTGTGGGTGGGAGCAAGTGTCCAACAGGGTGTTGTCCAGAGCCTCTTCAGTGTCTCCTCCTTCAGTCAGATCACCAGTGGCTTGGTGAGGGCAGGGAGTCAAGGGGAATTTGGGTGTGGAAATGCATTTTGTGATATGAGTGGGAACCAGTAAAGTTTGTGTGCTAGTCCCCTTTAATAGCAGGGAACATTTGGAGAGGAGGGAGGGTGCTGTCATTATTCCCAGGCTTATTTCAGATGATGAATAAATCTGTGCTGGCCCATTTTTTTACTGGACTCAGAGTATCTTACCATAAGGATAAATGAATTTTGTGTTGCAGAGTGTTCTGCCAGTTCTGGATAATCCGCTGTCCAAGAAGGTGCGAGGCCTCATTGATAGCTTGAGGGCACAGAGATCACGGTATATGAAGGTAACACTGATCTAAACCCTGGATTTCTTACCTTGTCCTCTCCTGGAAAGGGGGGGTGAGAATAAGTGACTGGATAATGGGATTTTAGGGCATGTTTAATTCCTTTTGGCCCTGCCTCATGACCCTATTTTCTGGCTATAGCTTATCGTGGTGAAACAGGAGGACAAGCTGGAGATGCTGTTCAAACACTTCCTGGTGGAAGACAAGAGCTTGAGCGGGGGAGCATCCTATGTGGACTTTCTGTGTCACATGCACAAGGAAATCCGGCAGCTACTGAGCTAGAGCAAGTGGGTAAATGGCATAGGGTGCCAGGCCAGCTTCCAGAAAGTACCCCAGGATGGCAGAGAAATTGGAACAGTTCCATATCTAAGTCATATTAGCTGACCTCAGTCTCTTTGGGGGGAGGGGGAGGTATAAGGAGACACCTTTCTGGGATCAAGTATCCTACCACTCTGTCATGTCCTGCTGATGAAAGGTGCCCCTATCCCCTCACATTACCCTCCTTTTCCTGCTAATCCTGTCGTAATGAATGTAGTTTCTCAGTTCACTGTATATGATTCGGTGTTGGGGGATTTGAAGGCACCCAGACTCTGGCAATATTATGTGTCCCCTTGGACCAGCCTCCAAGAAGAGAGGGGCAGGCAGGAAGGAATGGGAATCCCAGGGTTACCATGGGGGGGAGGGGCTAATTCAGCTCAGTGTCATCAACAACTTCCTATATTAGGGATAAAACATACAGGTGCACAAGAGCTGGGGTATAGACCATAGATGGTGGAGAGAGAAGTGGTTAGTCAGTCCTTCTTGGGCCTGGAAGTCAGCAACCAAGTCAAAGTTAGGGAGAGTGGTTGATTAGCTTTTCTCTCTCTCCTGCAATGATCAGTGATCACTCAATGGATAGAGGCACATTATCAGAGATGAATGAGCCTGGGAAATGAGTTGCAAAGAATATTAAGACCTGGGAGAGGTACCAGCCTCTTTTCCAGCTGGAGAGGCTCCAACACTGGATGGTTCTGTAGGGAGCCTGATCATCAACTTGCAATACCTCACAGAGCCAGCCCCTATCCCACTCTGAGCTCCCACTGGAAACACTGCTTCTCCAAGGTGGGAGTTGTTGGGGAGAGAGGCAGAGGCGGCTGGAGCTCTGTTCTCTCCTGCTGGGACACCACTCGAGCTTTGGTATTGACAGAGTGGCTGACAGTTATCTTCCAACCTGAACTGGCTGGGGCAGGACAAGGGCTAGGCTTGATGGTGGCCAGGCTTGTCTGTTCCCAGCCTGGGATTCCCCTGCTCTGGACCTCTCATTTATCTTCATTGGTTTATTTTTCAATGCATCTTTAATTTGTAAAGAAATAAAATAAATTAAGATGTAACAATTAGCCTCATTTTTACTTGTGATTTACCGTTGTCCCCTGCATTCATTCCTGCTAGGCCTAGCACTTCCCAGGAAGGGGCCGGCTGAGCAGAACTGCGCATGCGTCACACGCACCGCGGGCGTAGGACCTCGTCCGTCCCGACTCACCGCAGGGCGGGGTCTGGTGCTGCCGGGAGGAGTTGGGAGCGGGGGGGAAGGGGGCAGCTGCCAGTGGACATGGCGGCGGGCCGCAGCAGGGCTGTGTTTGCCGTCTTTGGCGTGCTTAGTGTTTGTGCGGTCAGCGGCTCTGGGCCCGTGGCTGAGGGGGACACGGGCGGGGAGGCGGAGTGGACGGAGCCTTGGGATGGTGCGGTTTTCCGGCCGCCCTCAGCGCTGGGCGCGGTGGGGGTGGCGCGCAGTCCGGGGACCCCCCGGCCAGGGAGGGAGGAGGCGGTGGACTTGCCCGTGCTGCTGTGGTGGAGCCCAGGGCTATTTCCCCACTTCCCTGGCGACTCGGAGCGCATCGAGTGCGCGCGCGGTGCGTGCGTGGCGTCCCGGGACCGATGGGTGCGGGGGCACTCGCGGACGCGCGCGCTGCTCTTCTACGGCACTGACTTTCGCGCGTCGGAGGCGCCGCTGCCGCGCCTGGCACATCAGAGCTGGGCGCTCCTGCACGAGGAGTCGCCCCTCAACAACTTCGTGCTGAGTCACGGTCCGGGCATCCGCCTCTTCAATCTCACTGCCACCTTCAGCCGCCATTCTGACTACCCGCTGCCGCTGCAGTGGCTGCCCGGGACCGCTTACCTGCGCCGCGCCGCGCCTCCGCTACAGGAGCGCGCGGAGTGGCGCCGTCGCGGCTACGCGCCGCTGCTCTATCTGCAGTCCCACTGCGACGTGCCTGCGGACCGGGACCGCTACGTGCGCGAGCTGATGCGTTTCATCCCGGTGGGTGGGGCCGGGCCGGGGCTGGGGTGGGGGGGCGAGGGGGCGCGTGCGGCTGAGGCCAGGACTTCTGGCGTCCAGGCCGACATGCAGCACCCACTTGACGGCCGTACTCTACCCCGCTCAGGTGGACTCCTATGGGAAATGCCTGCAAAATCGGGAGCTGCCCACTCCGCGCTTACAGGACACAGCCACAGCTACCACCGAGGATCCAGAGCTCTTGGCCTTCTTGTCTCGCTACAAGTTCCACTTGGCCCTCGAAAATGCCATCTGTGATGACTACATGACAGAAAAACTGTGGCGCCCCATGCATCTCGGGGCTGTGCCTGTGTATCGCGGCTCTCCCTCTGTGAGGGACTGGATGCCCAACAATCACTCCATCATCCTCATTGATGACTTTGAGTCACCTCAGAAGTTGGCAGAATTTATTGACTTTCTGGACAAGAATGATGAGGAATACATGAAATACTTGGCATATAAGCAACCTGGGGGCATCACCAACCAGTTCCTTCTGGATAGTCTGAAGCATCGGGAGTGGGGAGTGAATGATCCTTTGCTGCCTAACTACCTCAATGGTTTTGAGTGTTTCGTCTGTGACCATGAACTGGCTCGGCTGGAGGCCGAGAAAGCCCACGCAGCCTCTCCTGGGGACATCCCTGGCCCTGAACCTCACATTGCCCAGCCCTCACACATGGACTGCCCGGTGCCCACACCTGGCTTTGGCAGTGTGGAAGAGATTCCTGAGAATGACAGGTAAGGATAGCCGGGGTCCCTGTGGCCATCAAATCAAATGATTGACTTGCTTGCTGTGGGCAGTGAACTAGTACTAGGTGCTGAAGGGATTGTGTATGAGGAAATGATGACATGGGCTTACCCTGCCTTTAAGGTGTCAAGAGTCTAGTTGGGGAGATAAGACAAACTGAAAAAGCTCAGGAAAAGATGCAAAATATAATTCAAGGCAACAACATGAAGATCAGCTTATGTGAGCAGTGTTTGCAGTAGTGATTCAGAAAAGGCTTTAACCAGAGCAGAGGGGCCTGTTCAGAGGAAGTGATGAGAGACAAAGTTGGGCAGATAAACTGGGGCCAGGCTATACATAGCCTGAATACCAGGCTCAGGAGTTGGACTCTCCTGAAAATCAACTCAGATGTTTTATTTAGCACCTTCTAAAGGGTGGGGTGGGGAAGAGCAATACAAAGATGGATATTTTGAGAGAGGTTTGTCTGCAGTAGGGTTTACATCTGTTAACTTGGCATAATTATTAATAGTACCTCCTTTCACTCTCAAAAGTACCCTGGTTTGGATGATAAATTATATACGTTCGCTTTAAACAAGATAGGACTGCTTTCAATAGATAATAGTGAACAATGGTGGGCAGTGTGAATTGGAAGAGAAGTGAGGAAGCTACTGCAGTAAGTGGCAAAAGGTGGTGCACTGGGAAACAAGGTCAGCATGGGAGGTGAGAAAATGTTGAAGACACTTGGCAGCAAACCACATCTTTTCAGGGAGAGGTGATAAAAAGATTATTAAGCTTAAGAAAGCAAAGACTGCTAGAATGGCCTGCAGAGACCGACTTGCACAGTGGATGGCAGCAGAGGGCTGTTTATATACACTGCTGACACAGTTTGGTTCTGGGAATGGAGTCCTCCATCAAGTAATTTGTATCTAGTTTATGCTGAACATAGTATTATGAATTAGTAGAAGAAAAGTGTAAAACATTAAAAAAAGAATATATGTTTTATCTAGACATAGGACAGCACTGCACCTTCATTTTGATTATTGAAATAGAGGTGCAACTTATAAGGTAACCATCTAAAGAGGCTCCCTGGCCTTTCTTTTTTTTTTTTTGAGATTTTATTTATTTATTTGACAGAGAAAGACACAACGAGAGAGGGAACACAAATGGGGAGTGGGAGAGGGAGAAGCAGACTCCCTGCCGAGCAGGGAGCCCGATGCGGGACTCGATCCTGGGACTCCAGGATCATGACCTGAGCCGGAGGCAGTCGCTTAACCAACTGAGCCACCCAGGCGCCCAGCTCCGTGGCTTTTCTTACAGACTTCTGGTTCCATAGTCTGGCCCTTGCCCTGCCTTCCTCTGAACTCCTTCCACATTTGGGAATCCGGAGTGGGCAAGACAGGAAGTGTAACTCATTGGGGGTGGGCTGTGTGATAGATACCATGTTTGCAGCTTACTGTCACTTGTACTACTACTAGATTTATTTCACATTTCCTTCCCTTCTAAGGAGAGCCCTGTCCCAGAGACTACTGTATCTGCTTAAGATTTCTTTGACCCCATTCAGAGAAGGCAGGACTCATAGCTGTGCAGAGGTTCCATAATCCAACTCCCATTTTGATGTTTCAGCTGGAAGGAGATGTGGCTGCAAGATTACTGGCAAGGTCTGGACCAGGGGGAAGCTCTCACTGCCATGATCCACAACAATGAGACAAAGCAGATGAAATTTTGGGATTACCTACATGAGATCTTCATGAAAAGGAACCAAAATCTCTAATTACCCTTGCAAGAGCCTTTAACTTGGTAGAGCTAAGGAGATGGAAGTCCTTATTCTACTATGGGACATGAGGGGCACCTGCTGCACAACCTTAATGAACACTGTCTTATCATGAGTTCAAGGAATTCCAGTTTCAGCCACTGATATTTTATTTTAATGATGTGTATCCAGTGTCTCAGCTTGTGGTAATAGGGCCTGTCCTCAAGGAGAGATGGAAGCCTCCAGTTCTTGGGATTAGTGGGAAGCAAAAGCCTGAAACACCCACTTGTTTCAAAGTGCTGATTGAACAGAATTTTAAAAGATCTGCATCTTTTTCTAGCCATTCCATCCTCTCAACTGTGATTGGAACAACTCCTTGGTACTTGTCTAAGAATGAGGTAAGATGGGTCAGGTTTACGGTCTTAAAACTTTGATGCTATTCCTTAAATTCTTCATTATTCAGTACCTTTCCTAATCTCTTTTCCTCATCTCCTGCTTTATAAACTGTTATGTTGGTGGTGAAGCAAAACTCCTGGTGGGTTGTATTCTGGTTCTTGGAGTTGTATTTTTTATATCATTTACTTGCCTTTGATGTCAAACTTTTTATTTTAAATGGATTTTTCTTTCCTGGTTGTCCACTGTATCTGATGACGATGCAGTAGCCTTGCCACCATCCCCACATTCATTCTCCCCTGCATTAAACCGGCTATAGGTCTGACAGCTTTTTTTTACTGCTGGTTTGCTTTTTTTTTTTTTTTAAGAGCGTATCTGGAATTCCTTCTCATGAACAGAAAGACTCAATGGCTAATATATGCCATGTCAATTTAATGAATTGTCCTGCTCTATTTTAGGTTAGAGATAGAGACTAAGGCTGGAAATGATGACAGAGTATATATATATTATTCATGTATATATATATATATATATATATACACACATGAATGATATTTAAATGATTTTGAAATGTTAAAATAGACCAGTGCAAATCAAACTGCAGATTTTTATAGGTCTTTGGTCTTTTCTGTCTGCCTAATGAACTCTCTTTTATTATTTTTATATGCTACAATTTTAAATCTCATTTTCCCCAAAGATACATGAAGATTATGTTGGAAAAAACAGCCCAGCAATATAGTTGTAGCAATTACCTCATATTATGTAGCATTTTTCACTTTATGTGGTATGAATATTCCAACTTCATTCTATTACCAATATCCGTCTGTACAACTTTATAGTACTTACTGAGACTACATTTTGATGGAACCCACCTAAGGTCCTAACCTCAAGGGGAGGTGAGGCAAGAGATAGCCACAAGTGGCTGGCTAAATAAAAAGCTGTTAGGCAGATTTTGGGGTACAGCCAAACCCTTTTATTGCTGTGGTTTGAAAATAAAGCTTAATGGGCAGTGAGACCGTTAGCTTTTTCTGGGCCAGTGGAACAAAAAAGAATACTTTGGACCTTAGCGCTATTCTGGTTGTAATGTAGTATTAATGAATTATCACTAGAGAAGTTCCATAGCTTATCAGTTTATCTGTTTCTAAATTATGTACTTTTACATACATATACACACACTAATTTACAACCAGATGTATGTGTGTGTGTGTATGTGTATGTATGTATGTATGTTAGATGGGTCCCACCCTTAATACTGTGACATCTAAGGATGTGGCCAAGGAGAGCTGTAATTTGGGCTGGATTTCACTGCCAGCGTGGTTCTTTTTCCATTTTATTTCTTAGTAAAAAAATACCCTTCACACCAGCATGGAAAGTTTGCTTAGGGGTGCCTGGGTGGCTCAGTCGTTAAGCGTCTGCCTTCGGCTTAGGTCATGATCCCAGGGTCCTGGGATCGAGTACCGCCGCATCAGGCTTCCTGCTTGGGGGGGAAACCTGCTTCTCCCTCTCCCACTCCCCCTGCTTGTGTTCCCTCTCACTGTGTCTCTGTCAAATAAATAAAGTCTTAAAAAAAAAAAAAGATGGGGTGCCTGGGTGGCTCATTCGTTAAGCATCTGCCTTCGGCTCAGGTCATGATCCCAGGGTCCTGGGATCGAGCCCTACATCGGGCTCCCTGCTCCACAGGAAGCCCGCTTCTCCCTCTCCCGCTCCCCCGGCTTGTGTTCCCTCTCTCGCTGTCTCTCTCTCTGTCAAATAAATAAATAAAATCTTTAAAAAAAAAAGATTATTTATTTATTTGACAGAGAGAGAGACAGCGAGAGAGGGAACACAAGCCGGGGGAGCGGGAGAGGGAGAAGCAGGCTCCCACTAAGCAGGCAGCCCGATGCGGGGCTCGATCACAGGACGCTGGGATCATGACCTGAGCCGAAGGAAGACGCTTAACGACTGAGCCACCCAGGCGCCCCAAATAAATAAAATCTTAAAAAAAAAATAGCAACCCACAAAGGAAGTCAAATTCAGGACTCTGATTTCTGAACTTGCAATCTACTTAAATGCAGGTGCTGATTTATAGTGCAAAATACATATTACTCAAGTGCAAACTAAGGTTAGGAATCAAGTTTCATTATGTGCAATAAAAAGGGTAAGTGCAAAGTGTATAATCATCCTTACCTCTCCTAATTACAGCAGTTCACATTGGCATTCCTTTAGCACTTTTATGTACAAAGTGGGCCAGTTGTTTATGAATGATTGTGGCTGGAGACTCATGCCTGCTTTGTGGACAGTGCTTCCCAGACTTTCTCCTTTAATCCTATCACCATAAAAGTATTCACAAAAGAGTACAGTAAACCAGATGCTGAATTTCCACAAGAGAAAGCAGAACCAATATGAAGAGAAAGCAAACAATGTGAATTTCCTCTGGTTTGGGCCCACTTGCTCTGTAACGGCAACAGGCTCAAGATTATTGGGCAACAGGCTCAAGATTATTGGTGGTAGAAGTGTCTGATTAGGAATCAGTTTTATTTGTGCTGCTGGGGTGGCGGTGGAGCATGAGACTGATGCCTTTATTACTCCATGTGTTGCGATTTTCTATTTTCTCAGGTTTCATTTTGTATAATAAATAACTTCTTTTTAAAAAGTGTCTTCTGCTTGGTTATATTTCTGGGCTGAGTATGATACGCTTGGAGGCTTGGAAAAATATGTCAAAATATTTGCTTATTTAACAAGTATTTATTGTCACTATTCTAGGCACTGGGATTCAGTAAGACAGGGTCCCCTCTCTAATGGTGCTTACATTTTAAATGGATGTCGCTGGTAAGGAAGGCCGTAAATAAACAATAAAAATGAACAAGGTAATTCAGACTGTGATATATGCTATGAAAAAAATGTAACAGCTTGATGATGGGGGGATGGGGGACGTAAGGGAAGGCCTCTCTGACAGGAACTGAGACTCGACAGAAGAAAAAGAACCAGTCATGCAGAGATCCAATGGGAAGATTAAACATCTGTGATAAATGATTTTAATTTTAGCACACTAAATTTTACATAACCAAGTAAATATTGCTCCTCCAAAGTAGTCCTCTTATGAACTAAAAGCTGTTCAAGTTACGCTTCCATTACCAGAAACATTTCTTGAAGCTCATTTCTAAATGCCCTGAGAATCCCTGGCACATTTTTGAGTTTTGTAAACAGCTAAAAGTCACTTAGAACCAAGTCTGATGAAGCTAGGCATCACAACTGAAGGGTCAAGTCTATTAATAAGAATGATACCACCAAGTATCTTCACAGGATTGGAGAGAAGATTAAATTAGACGATAAATGCCAAAGTGCTTAAAACTCACCCTACCCAATGAGATCATTACAAAGGAGAGCAAAGAATATATAGTAGAATATATAAGTAGTAGCAACTTTATTTTTACTTATTTATTTTTAAGTAGGCTCCACACCCATCGTGGAGCCCAATGCAGGGCTTGAACTCAAAACCCACAGTTCAAGACCTGAGCTGAGATCAAAAGTGGGACGCTTAACTGACTGAGCCACCAGGTGCCCCAGTAGTAGCAACTGTTTAAATGAGCCTAACTTGGGGCGCCTGGGTGGCTCAGTCGGTTAAGCATCTGCCTTCAGCTCAGGTCATGATCTCAGGGTCCTGGGATCAAGCCCCACATAGGGCTCCCTGCTCAGCGGGGAATCTGCTTCTCCCTCTGTGCTCTCCTTCTCTCTCTCTCTTTCTCAAATAAATAAATAAAAAATCTTAAAAAAAAAAAAATGAGCCTAACTTTTCTTTACGGTTTTGGGGTGGTTTTAAAGGTCGTAAGATCCAACAGTTCTTGAAAACTCGTCAAAATATAATAAGAATCTGTCCCAACCTAACATCTTAAAGTCTCATATTTTGATTCGCTCCCATACTCTGCCCTTGCCTATGTCAATCATCCTCTAGTTCAGCCGGCTACCACCATAAACGAGTGTCCTATTTATCGGGTCCTTTCCAGGATGTTCCCGGCCTAATACCGCCCGGAGCCCTCAGGGCCCGGTAGCCCACAAAAGAGCGGTCTCGGTCAGCGGACGAGCCCCAAAGACTCTCCTCCTAACCTGCACACAGGTCTTGAACAACCGATGTTGGATTCCCTCATCGGGTCTACAGGGCCAAAAGAGCAAGCTGGCTTCCCAGCTTCCCGCAGGTTGCGCGCCTAGACTCGTCGAGCTCGTAGGGGTCACGCAGGGTCACGCACGGCGACGCAGAGCCTGCCGGGAGTTCGGTGCGCAATGGCGACGCCCAGCCTGCGGGGTCGCCTACCGCGGCTGGGAAACCCCCGGAAGCCTATACTGAAGCCCAACAAGCCCCTCATCCTAGCTAACCGTGTTGGGGAACGACGCCGGGAGAAGGGCGGTGAGCAGTCGGAGCCAGGGAGGCTCCAGAGCGGAAGCCGGAGGGATGCACGGGGCGGCTGGGTGGGAGGGCTGAAGGTAAGGGTTTCCTTGTGACTGAGGGTTCTCGTTCTGCTCCTCCAGAGGCGACTTGTATTACAGAGATGTCGTTGATGATGGCGTGTTGGAAGCAGAATGAATTCCGCGACCAAGCGTGCAGAAAAGAGATCCAGGATTTCTTCGATTGTGCTTCGAGGGCTGAGGTGACAGAAGGCTCTTAGGGTGTCCTCTTCGGAGGAGAGTGGGGCGGGGATACAAGTAATTGTTCTCCTCGCCTCTTGCTAAGTGATAGGAAGTCCTTATTTTAAAAAGGCGAGGAAAGTTGTGGGAGCGATTTCACTCACGCCACAGTGGAAAAAGTCATGTTTTGAAGGCATTATGATCTTGAGCGATCTGTTTCACTGCTCTAAGCTTTAGCTATACCAGATGTAAAAGGAGGTTAATATTAATACCCACCTTACAGAATGTTGTGAGTGTTAAATGAAGGAATGAATGGGAAAATCATTTTATAAAAGTTAAAGTGCCGCTCAAATAGACATTATTGTCTGAAATAGAGCTAAAGATAGTGAAGGGCAGGTTATTTGGATTTTAGCCTAAAATTAATTGCTAGCTCGCATGGTAGCTTCAGGTCATCCAGTCATCTTTAGGTTCCACGTCCCTTTTGAAAGGGGACTGGGTAGATGACACAGATATTTCCAGGCTGGTTAATATATTAATGTGCTTTGTGGCATTGTGAGAACTATTGGCCTAGGTCAGGATAAACTGTAGAGCTGTCATTTTTGTTTTTGTTCTGTCTTTTCAGGGAGCCCGAAAGATGCAATCAATCCAGGGCACAGGAGAATCTGGGGATTTACCCCCCAAGAAACTGAATAAGTTGTTACAGAGATTTCCTAACAAATCTCATGTCAGTTGAAAATGGAGAAGCATTTTCTATGACTGGACTGTAGCTACTGAGAACTATGCAGAGGTGTTTTAGAGACGTTTACACTGCCATGCTCTATTTGAAAGGTGAAAGGAGGCAAGACACCTTTTTCACCCTTTGGAATCATTGTCAGGATGGAAGTTATGCTTTATCTTGAAATAAAATCCTCTAAAGAGAACTTGGCCTTTGTTGTAGATTAGGTTCTCCCTCCATCCTTGAACTCTGTATCCTCCATGAGACTGGAAGCTCTTTGCTCTCTGATTTGCCCCAGGAGCAGGACAGATTTATTCTTGTTCTGCATTTGAAGTCCTTACACCATTTAGTATCCTTGCCTTTGGATGCAATAAGGGAGTTGAAGTTTGCCTATATGCAGAGTTTTTTTGTCATCATTCGTAAGTATTTAGTGACTGCCTATTTTGTGCATAGCCCCTGCAAGATGCTCCCAGAATAATCAGAAGTTCACAAACTGGTGCACAAAGTTACTACAGATGTATTTTATTTAGCCAACACAATTAAAAATTTCTTTTTGAATTAGATGACCACCTTCAAAAATAGGAAAGATGTCATTAAAAATCCACTTTGGAGCTTTCCATTAAAAAAAAAAAAAGGATCTGGCAACACCAATTTCTTATTCCTGCATGGCAATAATCGTGTAGAACTGATTATCATTTGTCTCTATTCTCCATACCTGGAGAATACCTGGCATTGGCCTCTCTCAAATGGTGAAACTTAAACTTATTTGGCAGTTATCTTCTTTGTGTATCACCTGTTCATTCTCATTAAGTTATCCACCTAGTTGCTAAAGGTATTAACTTCTGTGACCCCTTGATATTAGAAAGAATTGTATAGTATTTTATGTATACTCTGCCCTTTCAGGCATAACTAACTTAACCTTTCCTATATACGTTAGAGCATTAAATAGACAAAGGGATCAGTGAGGTTTCTAAATCTCCATTGGGATAATTATTCAGATAAAGAAGGAGTCTTGCCTCCCTGACCCCCACAGCTACCTCTTCCTATAGTCCTCATTCCCCCTGGGTATGGCACTGGGCAGTTGCCTGGTTCCACAGCTGAGGCTTTTAGCGGTAGGAAGAAGCTCAGTGCTTAGGCACTTTGGACTGGACTTAGGAGTTCTTAACCTAGGGTCAGTAGATTCCCAGTAAGAGGTCTGTGGACATGAATGGGAAACAAATTTTATCTTTAGCCACAACTGAAATTTAGTATTTCAGTTAAGACTGAGGGAAACAAACCACAGTATCAGCAATATCTATGTGAAATCATATTTTCATATAGTAGGTTGCAGATACCTCAATATTGTACCCATCACTAGCTTCAAAATTATGGTAGTTATTACACTTGCTGCTGGATCTTACTTAATGTGTAAATAAAGAAGTATTACTATGTTACAAATTTGTTTTATTATTTTTAAAATTGTATTTCGACATAATTGGTTTCCTTTGTAATTTTTCTTTTTATTTTGTGCACTTACAATCTGAGAAGGGTGTCTATATAGAGACTTCACCAGGCTGCCAAAGGGTCCGTAGCACAAAAAAAAAGCTAAAACATCTGAACTCAAAGGACCCACTGACAAAACAGTACAACCATTCCTGAAATCAAGTGCATTCTTTTCGCGGTGCTTCCCTGGTGAGACCCTGTAACAACTCTGATGGCATGCAGGCTTCTGGACTACAACTCCCAGGAGGAAATGCGGCCCCAGGGCCTATCCGGAGTTAAAACAATAACTCCACCCAATAGTTCCTGTGTTATCGCTTGACAGCCTACGATTCCCGGCATTCATGGCGGCTGTTTATTCCTTGGGGACACTATGGACGCCGAGTTATTGCTGGGATCTGTAGTCATTTCATATACCTCTGGGGGTTGGCTTCCTCTTACGGTATCTGAGGCTGGGTTCGAGAAAAAAAGGCAGGAAATGCAGCAATTAAACAAACAGGTCCTCTACATCTGCCCGTACCGGGTCCGGTTCCCAAGCGCGTGAGGGCGGAAGTGGTGGTGGCCGGCGCGGCCGGAAGTTCAGATCAGCTGATGGGGGAGGCGGCGCCGCAGCCGCCTAGAGGCCCCGGCTGCCGAGCGCTTCGTCCGGGCCCTGAGTCTCGGATACTGGCCACGATCCCCGTTCGCACCTCGCAGTTGGGCGAGGCCCGGTTCCATATCCCTTCCAGGCTTGAGATCCTCGTCCGGCACGGCCGCCCTGAGCGCCCCGGCCACCCCCAGCCCCGGCTCGCCCCTCAGGCCCCGGGCCTCCCCTCAGCCCCCGGCCGGCGGCCCAGGCCCCGGATCCGCGGGGGGGGACCCGGCCCCGGGGGGTGCAGGCCCCATGGAGCTGATGTTCGCGGAATGGGAGGACGGAGAGCGCTTTTCATTCGAAGATTCGGACCGCTTTGAGGAGGATTCGCTCTGTTCCTTCATCTCCGAGGCCGAGAGCCTCTGCCAGAACTGGCGGGGATGGCGCAAACAGTCCGCGGGGCCCAATTCCCCCACTGGCGGCGGTGGCGGAGGTGGCAGTGGCGGTACCAGAATGCGAGGTGAGGGTGAGCGGAGGGGGAAGGGAGCGGGCTGGCTCTGCTCAGGCCTTGCTGGGGAGCTGTCCCTGCTCGGGAGCTGTCCCGGACCGCGAGCTGTCCCAAGCCCAGAACGGACTTCTGGATTCGCTTTTCCAGTCTTCCTGGGGTTGGTTTCTCCACACCAGCGCGCGCGCGCGCGCGCGCGCGTGTGTGTGTGTGTGTGTTGGAGTGATGGCTGGGAAATCCTGGGTTCGATAGGATTAGCGACAGAAAGTAGATCTTTTGTGGTTCATTTGCCTTAGAGATGGGGTAGGAGAAAAAACTCGTCTGACTTGGGAATACCCACCGAGTTCAGCGTGGCGAGCCAGAAAATAGAAGAGAAGGTGGGTAAGAGGTGGACTGTGAAGAAGGGACCACTTGAGGTGTGTCAGTTCCATTGTAAAGTGCATCGGGAGCTTCCTCTTAAGGGTGATGACCATCTCTGATCCTGGCTACACCAGGAAGGGATTCCATCCAGAGGAAAGTGGAGGTGAACTGGCCTGTGAGAAGAGATTCCACAGTTACATAGGTTCACATCAGAGGCTTGGTTCTGGGCCATATTGAACATCTGTCAGGAGCCGAGGCTGGGACCACTGGATTAGAGCCTTAGATTTCTATCATCTGGGGCCCGGGGAAGAGTGTAGGTAATTGGCTCTAGAGTCTCCATAAGAAACACTCTTCCTGCTTTTTTGCTGTAAGCTTCTTTCATCCTTGGGTCTTTCAGTGAATTAACTGATTAGTGCTGTGAAGACTTTTCCTTTTATTAAAGGGGATTGAGGGGAGAGTGATGATAAGTGACGCTCCATAGGCTCAAGACTCACCACATCCTTTCCCTGCCTTCCTCATGGCACAGTTTTTGTCCTGGTCCTCAGTGCAAGCTGACTTTTTTCAGCAGTTGGGGTTGTGATTCTACTCCGGCCATTCCAAGAGTCCTGTTTTCCAAACTGCCCTACAGAAATTTTTAGCACCCCTCTGGGACAGAGAGAAATGTACACATGTCACTTGTTAGGAGTGGTAGTGTTCAACTTCAGTTGGAGAGGTGGCATATGTTCTGTGTACACAGACCCACAGGCCCACAAAGATCATAGGCAGTTTCACTGTGGGTCTTCTGTGGTCTCTTTGCTTCTTTCACATTTGCATGTGTGGGTAGTCTTGGGGTTTAGAGCTCCTTCACTTTGAGGGAAGTAACCAAAGTCATGTTGGTGAACATTCTCAGCATACCAATATCTTCCTGAATAGGTTAAGATCTAGGAAAGCCTGTCCTTCCCCAAGCCCCCTGCCATCCCGGGCTATCCTCAGTTGCTCACTTGTGAAATAAGGAGATTAACTTTTTTAAAAAAGGTTCTTTCAGCTCCATGATTTTCTGATCTTTCTTCTAATCTGACTAGCAATTTGTGGAGATATGTATGCAGTCTATTGTGTTTCACCACTTTTTTATTAAAACAGTGTAGGAGGGGCGCCTGGGTGGCTCAGTTGGTTAAGCGACTGCCTTCGGTTCAGGTCATGATCCTGGAGTCCCGGGATCGAGTCCCACATCGGGCTTCCTGCTCAGCAGGGGGTCTGCTTCTCCCTCTGACCCTCTTCCCTCTCGTGCTCTCTGTCTCTCATTCTCTCTCTCAAATAAATAAATAAAAATAAAATCTTTAAAAACAGTGTAGGAAGGCTTGAGTGGCAATTCCATCCTGCTCCAGGTGATAACAGGTTCCCCTGGGATAACCCATCTTCCCCCCATCCCATCTTCCCAGGCTTCCATTGTAGGAAGCCAAGGTTCAGGTGTGCCAAAGGACATGCAGCCTCTCTTAACTCCTCTGGGCTCTGGCCCATCCTCACTCCTTGGGTAGAGGTTTAGAGTCATCTAGAGAAAAAGGGATAGTAAAAAAGCAATTAGAGAAGAGAATGTCAGAGGAGAGACATTAACAACGTAATATGAATCTAAAGTGCTAGGTATAAGGGAAATTAGATGCCGAGCCATGTGAGAGGGGTTACCTGCTAGGATCCTGGAACACACCTGTTTGGCCAGGAGTTTCTGGGATATCCCTGGTATCTTCTGTTCTAGACCTTAGGTAGCGGGCTGTGGGCTGCGGTTGATTAGCTCCCCACCCCCAGATGGGAGGCTTAAGGGTTAATGTATCCTAACAGGAGGGTCCCTTGGTTTTTTATCCAGCTCTCCCCTTCCTTTCATAGTGAAGTGGGGCCCAAGAAGTGAGGCACTGGCATTGGTGCCAAGTAATCATGGCCCTTTTCATTTCCCCTTCTCTTTACCCTCACCCAAACATTTGTTTCTAAGATGGACTGGTGATCCCATTGGTGGAGCTATCAGCAAAGCAGGTGGCATTTCATATCCCATTTGAAGTGGTGGAGAAAGTTTATCCCCCGGTGCCTGAGCAGCTACAGCTCCGAATTGCTTTTTGGAGCTTCCCTGAGAATGAAGAGGATATCCGGTGAGGCTAAAGGACTGATGGTGGGGAGTGGGTCCTGATATTCCACACTGTGTACTGGGCTTCGTACAGAACAAAGGAGATACTGTACTGGGGGGCTGTGGTAAGAAGAAGACGAGGGGAGGAGAGTGCCTGGGATTTTCCCCCAGAGGGAGTGACACTGGGGAGAGAGTGCCCAGGGCGTGGGGGTCTCTGACGGGGTCTCTAGAAGGCTATTTGCTGAGTTGTGCCCGTGTCCTCCTCCTCACCCCCAGGCTGTATTCGTGCCTCGCGAACGGCAGTGCAGATGAGTTTCAGCGAGGGGATCAGCTGTTCCGCATGAGGGCTGTGAAGGACCCACTGCAGATAGGTAAGGGTGCCCTCGTGCCCTGTGCGGGCCCCGCCCCGCCCCCCCAACTCCTCCCATCCCCTGTGTTAGGAATGAAGGACCTACTGCAAGAAGCCAGAGCAGGTTGTCAGAATAACTGCAGGGCCAGGGGTGCGGGCGGAGAGTGATGTCTTGATGGCTCTCCCTGACCATACCCATGTTTCTCCCCAGGGTTCCACCTGAGTGCTACAGTGGTGCCACCTCAGATGGTCCCCCCCAAAGGGGCCTACAACGTGGCTGTGATGTTTGACCGCTGTCGGGTCACTTCCTGCAGCTGCACCTGTGGGGCTGGGGCCAAATGGTGCACTCACGTCGTGGCACTCTGTCTCTTCCGCATCCACAACGTGAGGCCCTCCCAATTTATCCCGGCCCTATCCTACGCTCCATCCCCCCCTTCTCTGCTGCATGCCTGGCCACAATGTGAGCCCCCTCGCCTCCCTTAATCTGCCTGTCTTTCCCCAGCTCCAGCGTCAGCAAGCCTTTTCTCAGCTTGTTCTGTTTCTCTCTGTGTCCCATTCAGGCTTCTGCAGTCTGCCTGCGTGCCCCAGTCTCAGAATCCCTGTCTCGGCTGCAGAGGGACCAGCTGCAGAAGTTTGCTCAGTACCTCATCAGTGAGCTCCCTCAGCAGGTGAGTGAGGATGGCCGTCCCTCCTCCAACTCCAAGCTCCGGGACCGCATATAAGTCTTCACGGTAGACCAGTGCCTCCTTGGGTCACCCGCGCCTTTGTCCCTTTCCCTGTCAGATCCTCCCCACAGCCCAGCGTCTTCTGGATGAACTCCTCTCTTCCCAGTCAACAGCCATCAATACGGTGTGTGGGGCCCCCGGTGAGTGTGGAGAGAAGGAAGGGCGGTAGGAAGGAAGAAAGCGGGTCGTGCAGAGCAGCACTTCCTCAAAACTTGCTGTTGTCAGGCGAATCCAGGTCCCTGTCTCTAGGTAACTGACTGCCTATCACCCCCAGACCCCACAGCAGGGCCCTCTGCCTCTGACCAGAGTACCTGGTATTTGGATGAATCGACACTCACTGACAACATCAAGAAGACACTGCACAAGTTCTGTGGACCCTCGCCTGTGGTCTTCAGGTAAATTGGATCTCTTGACGCCTGTGTCTGCGGCAGAAGGGAGCGTCCCTCAGGCTGTTGACAGATCCTCTGTTCTGTGAATACCCGTACTTCAAGAATTTTTGTCCTGGACATCCTTTCCCCCTACACCCTGTATTTTGGGTCGGGACCCCTTTTGTGTCAAAGCCCTGGTGCACTTTGACCCGTTGAAGGCGGCCCCATCTCAGGGTGAGCATTTTCCACTCCCCTGCCTTCACAGTGACGTGAACTCCATGTACCTGTCTTCCACGGAGCCTCCAGCTGCTGCTGAATGGGCATGTCTGCTGCGCCCTCTGAGGGGCCGCGAGCCAGAGGGTGTCTGGAACCTGCTTAGCATTGTACGGGAGATGTTCAAACGGAGGGACAGCAATGCTGCCCCCTTGTTGGAAATCCTCACCGACCAGTGCCTCACCTATGAGCAGGTAACCCTCCAGAGTTGGCTAGGCCCATCGTGGCTCATTTCCTCCTTCCCTGGACCTCATTCCCCTCTTGCTGACAGGGGCGCTGCGGAGGGCCGCTCTATCTTTCTCTCTGTTTGCAGATAACAGGTTGGTGGTACAGCGTGCGCACGTCCGCCTCTCACAGCAGTGCCAGTGGGCACACGGGCCGTAGCAACGGGCAGTCCGAGGTGGCAGCCCACGCGTGTGCCAGCATGTGTGACGAGATGGTCACGCTGTGGAGGCTGGCTGTTTTGGACCCTGCACTCAGCCCCCAGCGGTGAGTCTCTCCCCGGGCTCGCCACAGCGCGGATGCTGGGCCCGCCCAGGACAGAGCCTGCGCTCATGTCCTGCGCACACGCAAATGTGCTGTTCTTCTAGCCCTGGGGAGATGGCAGGTGCTGAGCAGCAGGGTTACCAGTGACTTCGGAGTCCTTTCTCTGAGCGGCTTTCTCCCTTCCCTCCCCTAAGTAGCTCCCACTTTGCCAAGTACCCGAGTGTTGGAGTGATGTGTGTGGGCTGGCGCAAGAAGTGCTTCCCTCGGCCCTTCCGCGGGCCCCTCTTCTGGGGCTTACGCCTGCTCTGTCTCCCCCCATCCCTTCTCAGGGCGGAAAGCAGCCTCCCTGCAGCCTCCCCACCTTTGTTCCCACAGCCGCCGGGAACTGTGTGCGCAGCTACGCCAGTGGCAGCTAAAGGTGATTGAGAACGTGAAGCGGGGACAACACAAAAAGACCCTGGAGCGGCTCTTCCCCGGCTTCCGGCCGGCGGTGGAGGCCTGCTACTTCAACTGGGAAGAGGCCTACCCACTTCCCGGTGTCACCTACAGCGGCACTGACCGGAAGCTGGCGCTGTGCTGGGCCCGGGCCCTGCCGCCTCGGCCCGGCGCCTCCCGATCTGGGGGCCTGGAGGAATCCCGGGAGCGGCCCCGAGCTCTTCCTTCTGAGCCCGCTGTGCGGCCCAAGGAGCCTGGGGCCAAGCGCAAGGGATTGGGTGAGGGGGTCCCCTCGTCGCAGCGGGGGCCCCGCCGCCTCTCTGCTGAGGGGGGAGATAAGGCTCTGCATAAGATGGGTCCAGGTGGGGGCAAAGCCAAGGCCCTGGGTGGGGCTGGCAGTGGGGGCAAGGGCCCAGCAGGCGGTGGGAGCAAGCGGCGGCTGAGCAGTGAAGACAGCTCCCTGGAGCCAGACCTGGCCGAGATGAGCCTGGATGACAGCAGCCTGGCCCTGGGTGCAGAGGCCAGCACCTTTGGTGGATTCCCTGAGAGCCCGCCACCCTGCCCTCCTCCCGGTGGCTCCCGAGGTCCTTCCACCTTCCTTCCTGAACCCCCAGATACTTACGAAGAAGATGGTGGTGTGTACTTCTCAGAAGGGCCCGAGCCTCCCACAGCTTCTGCGGGCCCCCGTGGCCTATTGCCTGGGGAGGTCTGTACCCGGGACGACCTCCCTTCCACAGATGAGAGTGGCAATGGGCTCCCCAAAACCAAAGAGGCAGCCACTGCAGTCGGAGAGGAGGATGATGACTACCAGGCATATTATCTGAATGCCCAGGATGGGGCTGGGGGCGAGGAAGAGAAGGCCGAGGGCGGGGCCGGGGAGGAGCACGACCTGTTTGCTGGGCTGAAGCCGCTGGAACAGGAGAGCCGCATGGAGGTGAGGAGGAGGGGGCTTCTTAGCCACAGCTGGGAGCGGGGCCAGCTGGCTGTAGTTGGGGGTGTCAGGATGTAGCAAGGTCGTTAGAATCCGGTAGTGGGCTCCTAACTGGCCTCCCTGCCTGCAGTCTCTTCTCTTCACTGCTTCCATATTGATTTTCCTGAACTGTCTGATGGTGTGACTCGGATACTTAAAAGTCTCCAGCATTTCTCACTGCCCTCAGTTTAAAATTGAAGGTCCTTGGCATGACCTGTGAGGCTTCACTTGGTCTGATCTTTGCATGCTTCTCCAGACTCATCTAGCCATTCTGTCTTTTTACTGGCCAGCTGAACCATTCCTCTAGCTTGCCATGCTTTCTCTTGCATCCTTACATTTGCACAGATTGGCCTTTCTGCCTAGAATGTTCTTCCCTCACCTTACCTCCTGTTCCTTCTTCAGGTCTCAGATATCTTAGAGATCACTTCCTTGAGGAAGTTTTCCCTGAGATTGCTCCTCTGCCCCAGGCCCCAGTGAGCTATCTTACCCACCTGTTCCCCTCTTGACCTTTCCCAGGGGTAGCTGGCTTCACACTGGTTTGTGTGTTCGTGTGTTTGTTTCTGTGATCAGACTGTGAGTTCCCGTGGTCTACCCAAGACCAGTATAGGGCCTAGCATGTAGTAAGTACTCATGGGATGTTTGCCGCGTAAGTGAGTATGGTGTCCTGCCCCTGGAAGTTCGGGCTTCAACCTACGTGCTGCCCCTGTGCTCTCCAGGTACTGTTTGCCTGTGCTGAGGCCCTGCACGCGCACGGCTACAGCAGTGAGGCCTCCCGCCTCACCGTGGAGCTTGCCCAGGACCTGCTAGCCAACCCACCCGACCTCAAGGTAGAGCCGCCCCCTGCCAAGGTGAGAGACCCCCACCTACCTACCTCCTTCCCCACTTAGCCCTAACCCTCTTCTGTGCCGCACCCCAAGCGAGAGCCTCCTCCTCACTCCACCAAGATGAGTCAGATTCATCTGCCTGCCTCCTCGTACTTCCTCTTTAGGGCAAGAAGAACAAGGTATCTACGAGCCGTCAGACCTGGGTGGCTACCAACACCCTGACCAAGGCAGCCTTCCTGTTGACAGTGCTAAGTGAGCGTCCAGAGCACCACAACCTGGCCTTCCGAGTTGGCATGTTTGCCTTGGAGCTACAGCGGCCCCCAGCTTCTACCAAGGCCTTGGAGGTCAGAGGTTCTGTCTGAGCCTTGCACTGCCCTCTCCTCAGAGCCTTGCAGCTCGACCTCCATCGAAGTAGTAGAGGTCTGAGCCCCTTCCTCTACTGATAGGTGAAGCTGGCCTACCAGGAGTCTGAGGTGGCTGCCCTGCTCAAGAAGATTCCTCTGGGTCCGAGTGAGATGAGTACCATGCGGTGCCGGGCAGAGGAGCTTCGGGAGGGGACGCTCTGTGACTATCGGCCTGTTTTGCCTCTCATGTTGGCCAGTTTCATCTTTGACGTTCTCTGTGCTCCAGGTATGGCGCACGACTCTACAGCAAGTAGGAATCTTGGGGTGGGAGTAGTTTTCTCTAAGGAGAAACCGAGAGCCCCAAGGCTCTGAATTGCCTTTAGGACCCATCAGGCAGCTTCCTGAGAGGTCTGGAATGATAAGGGTCTTGGGTTCCCCACATTTTGTTCTTTCCCATCATGCTTCTGTCTGGCTGACTTACTCCAACTTTTATCTAGTGGTTTCTCCCACGGGTTCCCGGCCTCCAAGTCGAAACTGGAACAACGAGATGCCTGGGGATGAGGAGCTGGGCTTTGAGGCAGCGGTTGCCGCCTTAGGTGAGTCTAGCGATATCTTGAGCACATCTGTGAACTAAGCCTGGCCCAGGCCATGAAGGGCGTGAGACATGGCCCTGTTCTGAAGGGGCTGTAGGGCAGCGGGACAGCCAGAGTGACACGGATGAGCCAAGTGGTGCCTGTGAGACAGCCAAGAATTAGGAACAAAATGTTTGCTATGGCTGTGGGGGGTTAGAAGGGCCGCGAAACAAAAATCTAGGAAGAGGACTCAGGGAGGGTGTAGAATAGGAAATGTAGGTTCAAAGGTCAGCTAAGTTTTTGACAGGGGGTTCAAAACACCACGAATAAAGACAAAGGGGCAGTTCAGTCTTGATCAGAGTGAGGAGTCCTGCTTCCCTGAAGGGATGGCTATGTTGTGAAGGCAGAGTGGGCCAGGTCACAAAGGTCTTAAAAAGCAGGTCAGAGCTAAGGCTGGATGTCGTAGGCGATGGGGACCTTCCACAGGGGCTGTGGGTTGGACCAGAACTCCTTAGGTCATACGCTGGTGGCTCGGCAGCCCTGGCCTGTTCACCTTTGCTGTCTTGGGAGTTACGGCCATTCTCAGTCCCTGTGAGACCCTTCTTCTTACAGGTATGAAGACAACAGTGAGTGAGGCAGAGCATCCCCTCCTGTGTGAAGGCACACGTCGGGAGAAGGGTGACCTGGCACTAGCACTAATGATCACTTACAAGGATGACCAAGCCAAGCTCAAAAAGGTAGGGACTGAGGAACTGGGATTTTGACAGGCGGGGAGCAAATTTTACCACCTTTCTCCAGAATTCCAGGACAACGAGGAAAGGGCTATTCTGCTCATAGGAGATTAATGGAGAATCTTAGGGACACTTCATAAATAATAAGACCAAATTAGGGGGAGGGGGCAGTGGGTGGCTCAGTGAGCTGAGCGTTCAACTCTTGATTTCGGCTCAGGTCCTAATCTCAGGGTCGTGAGACTGAACTCCGTGTCGGGGTCTGTGCTGGGTGTGGGGTCTGCTTGGGAGTCTCTCTCCTCCCTCTGCCCCTCTCTGCTGCGCTTGTTTGCACATTCTCCCTCTAAAATGAAAAACAAAACTAAAAAAACCACCGCTAAAAAAGAAGACTACGACCAATGGTTCTCATAGGAGCACTTGGGCAGGGGGTGGAGGAAGAGAAGCAGAGAGCATAAAATCAGTTATACATTTATTTCAATATTTATTGAATATCAATATACTCAGTCCTGGGATTGTTAGGATATCAAGATATGTAAGCCAGCCCCTATCTTGGCGGGGGGGGGCGGTTTCCTATGGTTGTAACTGGGGAAGCCTTCCTGAAGAGGTGGTATTAAGCTGTTTCAAAGAGAGAGGAAGGTAATAGACATAGAAGTCAGGAGATAAAGGGCATCTTGTCACTGCTTCTGTTCTCCAGATCTTAGACAAACTGTTGGACCGAGAGAGCCAGACGCATAAGCCCCAGACACTGAGTTCGTTCTACTCCTCCAGCCGCCCAGCCACAGCCAGCCAGAGGTCTCCCTCAAAGCATGGGGGCCCATCTGCCCCAGGGGCCCTGCAACCGCTGACCTCGGGCTCTGCAGGGCCTGCTCAGCCAGGGAGTGTGGCAGGGGCTGGGCCAGGCCCCACTGAGGGCTTCACAGAGAAGAATGTGCCTGGTGAGGTGGGGGCACTGGGCAGGGGGGATGAATGGTATGGAACCACGTTGGGGTCCCCTTTCCTGAGCTTATCCCAATGTCCTGTTTTCCCCACCTAGAAAGTTCCCCACATTCTCCCTGTGAGGGTCTCCCATCTGAGGCAGCTTTGACCCCAAGGCCAGAAGGGAAGGTTCCCAGCCGCCTGGCACTCGGCAGTCGTGGCGGCTACAATGGACGGGGCTGGGGCTCCCCAGGGCGGCCTAAGAAGAAACACACAGGTATGACAGCCTGTGGGATGATATGGAGGGAAGGAAATTCCTGAAGTCTGAACTCTGGAACTTCTGGCTTCTGAAGACTGACTTGTCTTGGGTTAGGCATGGCCAGCATTGACAGCAGTGCCCCTGAAACCACGTCGGATAGCTCCCCCACCTTAAGCCGGAGGCCACTTCGAGGGGGCTGGGCCCCTACCTCCTGGGGCCGAGGACAGGACAGTGACAGCATTAGCAGCTCTTCCTCGGACTCTCTGGGCTCGTCGTCGTCCAGTGGAAGTCGCCGGGCCAGTGCCAGTGGAGGGGCCCGGGCGAAGACCGTTGAAGTTGGCAGGTCAGTGGAAGAAGTCCCCGTCTCCTCTCATCTGGCCCCACCCTCAGAGCCACCCGCCTAGTGTCATCTAGCTGTCGTTCCCCCAGGGACCCCACTTGCCCTGGGCTCTCCCAACCCACCTGGATACCCATTTCAGAGAAACCCCAATCCCCGTCCCTACCCCATCGCCCCTTTAGGTACAAGGGCCGCCGTCCCGAGAGTCATGCCCCCCATGTACCCAATCAGCCATCAGAGGCAGCTGCACACTTCTACTTCGAGTTGGCGAAGACGGTGCTGATCAAGGCGGGGGGCAACAGCAGCACTTCCATTTTCACACATCCATCTTCCTCAGGGGGCCACCAGGGTCCTCACCGCAACCTGCATCTTTGCGCCTTCGAGATTGGGCTTTATGCCCTTGGCCTGCACAACTTTGTTTCTCCCAACTGGCTCTCACGTACTTATTCTTCCCACGTTTCCTGGATTACAGGTAAACCCAGTGTCTTGACTTGGCTTTGGGAGGGGGTGTTAACTGATAGAGTGGAGAGTCTTATCCTTGTGGAATTACCGATCGGATAGGAGACACCATTCCCGCTCCCCAGCAGTGCCCATACTAACCCCATGCTGATTTTTGCTCCTTTCCCTGAAGGCCAGGCAATGGAGATTGGCAGTGCAGCTCTGACTATACTGGTAGAATGCTGGGATGGACACCTGACACCCCCTGAGGTTGCATCCCTGGCTGACAGGGCGTCACGGGCACGAGACTCCAATATGGTGAGGGCAGCAGCGGAGCTAGCCCTAAGCTGCCTGCCTCATGCCCATGCGTTGAACCCCAATGAGATCCAGCGGGCCCTGGTGCAGTGCAAGGAGCAGGTATTTCTACAGGCAATCTGGGGACCTGCTTTGAGGCATCTGGGCAGGGGCATGGGGCATGGGGCAAACGAACGGTCCAGCTCTTGATTGCCGTATCCCGAAGTTCACAAATTACCTAGTTTGTCCTGAAGTGGTGATACTTGACATATTAATGCACTTTCACATCCATTACTTCTTTTACTTTATAACTCCGAGATCAGGATTATTCCTGTATTATAGATAAGGAAATGAAGGCCTACACTTTAGGGACCAAGGTGATCACCAGGCTGAAATCCTTAGGGCAGGCTTTGGGGAGATAGTGGAAGTGGATGGGAGGGAGTGGCTAAGTTAGTCTGGAACTGGGACTATAACCTGGGTCTTCTGCTGGTCAGCAGGTGTTTGTTCAGTGTGTGTGTGACGCATTCATTGCTCTGACACAGACTCTGAGCATTGGCCCTGACCTCTGATGCCTCCCCGGGACCCGGGACCCGGGACCCGGGACCCGGCCAATTCAGAGGGACACGCTGGAATGTCATTTAAAACCATGCCTGAGTACAGCCCCTCCCCCTTAACCCTCTGCCCCTCCCTTCCAGGATAACCTGATGCTGGAGAAGGCCTGCATGGCGGTGGAAGAGGCGGCTAAGGGTGGGGGTGTATACCCCGAAGTGTTGTTTGAGGTTGCTCACCAGTGGTTCTGGCTCTATGAGCAGACAGCAGGTGGCTCATCCACAGCCCGTGAAGCGGCTACAAGCTGTAGTGCCGGTGGGATCAGGGCAGCTGGGGAGGCTGGGCGGGGGCTGCCTGAGGGCAGGGGGGGCCCAGGGACTGAGCCGGTTACAGTGGCAGCGGCAGCAGTGACAGCAGCAGCCACAGTGGTGCCAGTCATCTCAGTGGGGTCCAGTTTATACCCAGGTCCAGGACTGGGGCATGGTCATTCCCCTGGCCTGCACCCCTACACTGCTCTACAGCCCCACCTGCCCTGCAGCCCTCAGTACCTCACCCACCCAGCTCACCCTGCCCACCCAATGCCTCATATGCCCCGGCCTGCCGTCTTCCCTGTGCCCAGCTCTGCATACCCACAGGTGAGACCAGTGTTCCGCTGGGGGGCAGGGGGCGGGGGCTGGGCATTGGGAGTTCATGTGGGGTTGGAGTGGGGTACCCTGGGAGAACAACAGGGCTGTCCTGGTGAGGTGGTGGAGGTCTGGGGGACCCAGGCTAACTAAGATATGTAGGGACACCCAGTTGTGGGCCAAAGGGGGAGAGACGCATCTTAGTATCATTTCCTTCTCTTCTCCCTGTCTTTAGGGTGTGCATCCTGCCTTCTTGGGGGCTCAGTACCCTTACTCAGTGACTCCCCCCTCACTTGCTGCCACTGCTGTGTCTTTCCCCGTCCCTTCCATGGCACCCATCACAGTACATCCCTACCACACAGAGCCAGGGCTCCCACTGCCCACCAGTGTGGCCTGTGAGTTGTGGGGACAGGGAACAGGTGAATGGAGGGGAGGTACACTGGGCAGGGGAGATGGGGGAGGAACCCTCTCTGTCCCTTTGTGGGCTGTGAGTTGCTCATACGACTTTCGTTCCCCTCCCCGCCGCCGCCCCCACCCAGTGAGCAGTGTCCATCCAGCATCCACGTTTCCAGCCATCCAGGGTGCCTCGTTGCCGGCCCTGACTACACAGCCCAGCCCTCTGGTGAGCGGGGGGTTTCCACCACCCGAGGAGGAGACACACAGTCAGCCTGTCAACCCACACAGCCTACACCACCTGCACGCTGCCTACCGTGTTGGTGAGAGGAGGACCCCTTCTGTGCCCCCACCTGCAGTTGTGCCTCAGGCTCTTCAGTGACCCCTCGCTCCCCACAGCTCTTCATTTGTTTACTGTGGGGTCAGGTGTACCAGGTTGGGGTAGAGGAGGAAAAGGATGTACCCCCACCATGTGCCCACCCTTTTCTCCCAGGAATGCTGGCACTGGAGATGCTGGGTCGCCGAGCACACAATGATCACCCCAACAACTTCTCCCGCTCCCCCCCCTACACTGATGATGTCAAATGGTTGCTGGGGCTGGCAGCAAAGCTGGGTAACACCTCCCCTCCCCAGGACCATTGTCCGCCCCCCACCCGCTTCCCCCACCTTCCTATCCCAGACCTCCTTCCTAGCTCTTGCTCAGAGTTGAGGCCTTGGTCGGGTATGTGTGCGTGCGCGGGGGGCGGGGGGTTACCTCAGCTCCTGGGGTGGAGGGCGGCTCTCTGCCAGGCCAGAGCTGAGAGAGGAGAGTTGGGTCCCTAGGGCAGAGGTGGCCACCCCCGTCTCATGCCCCTCCCCCTGCCCCCCAGGAGTGAACTACGTGCACCAGTTCTGTGTGGGGGCAGCCAAGGGGGTGCTGAGCCCGTTTGTGCTGCAGGAGATCGTCATGGAGACGCTGCAGCGGCTGAGCCCTGCTCATGCCCACAACCACCTGCGTGCCCCGGCCTTCCACCAACTGGTGCAGCGCTGCCAGCAGGCATACATGCAGGTGACAACCTAGGACGCGTGGAGGAGGGGGGAGTCCCTCCTGGGCAGGCAGGGAACCAATTCCCCCGCTTGCGGGGGAGGACGGGCCTGGTGCTGTGCTTAGTGGCTTCATCCTGTTGCAGTACATCCACCACCGCTTGATTCACCTGACCCCTGCCGACTACGACGACTTTGTGAATGCGATCCGCAGTGCCCGCAGCGCCTTCTGCCTGACACCCATGGGCATGATGCAGTTCAACGACATCCTGCAGAACCTCAAGCGCAGCAAACAGACCAAGGAGCTGTGGCAGCGGGTCTCACTCGAGATGACCACCTTCTCCCCATGAGTCTGGCCCCTCTAGGGTCCTATACAGGGACACAGGCCTGTGGCTATGGGGGCCCCTCACACAGAGGGAGTGAATCTTGGCTGGACAGATCATCCCCACTCAGTTCTCTGGTAGCCCAGACTGGCAGCTGCTCTTGGGCCGTAGCTTGGGGCCAAGATGTCTCAGACCCTAGAAACCTAGGGTTGGGGGAGACAGCCCTGTCTGGGAGGGGGCATTGGGTGGCCTCTGGTATTTATTTGGCATTTATAAATATATAAACTCCTTTTTTACTCTAGTCTGCCTGGGCCTTCGCCTTCTTTCCCTCCATGTGCAGATGAGCTTTGAACCTGGGTGGGGGAAGAGACTGGTAACTTGCTTTAGTCTAAGTTTCTCCCACTCCAGTGAGGCAGACAAAACAGAAAAATAAGGATGTTTATTAAAGACATTTCTAGCCCACAGCTAGGGCTCATACTTAGCTCTATGAGCCACTGTCCAGCCTCATCCCCATTCAATGTGAATGACATTAGGGAGGCCGGGCCACAGGTAGATCCCACTGATCCCACAGTAGGGGGGTTCCTCCCATAGTCAGGTATAGATATACTGCTGAGGATGAAGAGGGAAATCATTGGATTATGTTCCTCTACACCCTGCCTGGACCCTTTCATTCCTGCCCATCTTCCAAGAACATGGGTCAAAGGTGCCTAGTACCGTGATGTAGGGTATCAAGGAAAGCCCCTTTATAAGACCCCAGAGCTATAGGAAAGGCCTGCCCTTCCCTTCTCAGCCATCCCAGGCCTGGGGGCCACTGAGGTAGAAGGGGCAGGGGCTGGGCCACTCTTATCCCCCTTGTGGGCCCTGCTCTGGGCTTGCCCTTTAGCGAACTAGGGGGCTTTTGCTGGTACAGGAGGCCCGGACATCAGCCCAGACTGGAATGTTGTAGTTCTTCCCGAAGCCATGAGGGCACTGGCTGTCCAAGCCGGCTTAGCAGCTTCGACAGATCCAAATTGTGGTTCCGGAAAAAATCCGTAAGAAAAAGGCGGGACTAAGAGGAGAAAAATGGAGGCAGAAATGGTAAGGAGTGGGACAAGGATGAGATCTTAGAGGCAGAGAGGGTTACCTTGTCCCAGGCTTTACTCACCTCAGTGTCCATATCTGGATACCTTCGTCCTTTGCTCTTGCCTAGACAGCGAGTCTTACCACCTTCAAGTCCCTGGCACCAGAATCCCTTTTCTTCATCAAACCTGCTCAACAGGAAGAGGCCACTGGTTGGCAGGGAGAAAGGAAATTCAAAACCCATAAATGTACACTACCTCTCCCAACTCACAGGGACACATGTCTCTTCCAAACAGACATGGTCAACCTGCTTCCCCATTTCCCCCAGATTCCTCCTCCCCTGGGTCATACTCTCCCACCTGAGGGTCCGTGTGTAGTTCAGAAAGGGTGTGATACCCAGGAACTTCTGGATGCTCTCCATTGAGGCAGCTGGGTTGGTACGCAGCTCTTGCCCATCCACAATCAGCAACTAAAGGGACAGGGATGTGGTTCCCTCTGTATTCCTTAGAAGCCTCTAGGCTGAGGGGAAGAGGAGGGGAAGGGGGACCCCAACAAGGGCTATTGGGGGATCGTACCTGTCCAGAGGGGTAGTAAGTCAGCCAGCGCTGCAGATGGGTGGAATAGTAGCCAGGGACAAGACAGCGGTTCTGCAGGGAGCGAAGTGCCAGAGGGGCCTGAGAGGAGGCTGAAATCACCTGGTAGAAGGTATAATTCAGAGCAACTGGGTCTCCATGGGCTCGCTGGTGCTGAAGGACAAGGAACAGGAAGGGAAGGGATGGGTAATTTGACAGAATTATTCTGCCCTACTCTTGGTCTAGTGAATAAATAGCATAGGAATCCTTCCCCAAAGCAACTGGTTTAGTTTCCCTACCCTCTTGCTTTCTGTCTCTCTAGCAGTCACCACCTCCCTCACTTAAGCCCTAATGTATCCCTAGTTTCAGGCTCACCTGATACCAGGAGTAGGCCCTGTCAGCAGGGTTGGTGAGCACAGTTATGATCTTGGCTCGTGGCAAGAGGGCAGCCCCCCGACGTGGTACAACCTCTGAGTCAAAGTAGGTGGCACTTTTTTCAAACAGAAAGTCAGTGCTGGCATTGGAAGGGACAGGGAAGAAGTCCATGTACCTAGGAAGTAGTACAGATAAAAGGCAGAGAATTTGCAGAGTGAGCTGTGCTAGTGGAAGCTGGAATGGGGTATTTGGGGGGAAGGGAGTGTTCCTCTGAGAAGCATTCCAAGGGATCCCAGTCTCACCAATCAATGCCCTTGTGGTAATTAGGGCCGTTGAAGAACTGAATCTCCTCAAAGGTGCTGGGGCTAGGGAAGCTGCTAGTTACAGCTGGGTGCAGGCTCAGGAAGAAGTGAATAGCTGTGGTCCCTAAACGGGAGAGAGAGTCCAGACTATTGTGGGAAAGAAGCCAGATCAACAACATGAACTTTAAGGAGGTGAGACAATAACTACTCTGGGTAGTAATATCTCCTTTGGACAAACTATAGTGAGAGAAGGAAAGACTAAGAGAGGCCCAGGGAAGGATTAAAATAGTAATTCTCAGCCTTGACTGCATCAGAATCACTTGCGGATCTTAAAAAACACACACACAGACACACACACACACACACTCTCTCTCTCTCTCTCTCTCCAGATGATCCTGATGCACCACCAGAATTAAGAATCACTGTCACAAGAGACTGGATTAAGGAGGGGTGGGTATGAGAAGGGAGTTCTTTGACCAAAGAATCCGTTGGATTTAAGGCAGGGGAAGAGAAGTTAGCTAGGGATGATTCACCTGTCTTCTGGGGTCCCACAATCAGGAACTTGGGGAGCCGATCACAGGTTTTCTCCTTGGACCAGATATCTTTGTGCCTCTTGTCATCACAGGGATTCTGAAGGTGAGGCAAAAAATCAGATGTCTAATCTTTTCTTCAACCCTTCCCACCCTCATCCTGTCTCTCTGGTCAGCCTGAGCTCCAACCATACCTGCCAAAGAGGGCTCCGCTCTTGAGGGAACAGTTCAAAGTACTTTTGTGCAAGAGGGACGGGAGGAAGAGTCTGTAGGCGCAGCCGTGTCCAGCACTGGAGGAAGCGCACCAGGCTCTCAAAGGTATACAGGCCCAGCCGATCATTTCCATAATTGGACAGATGGGTCATAAAAATGCTGATCTGCAAAGGGGTGCCTGCATGTCAGAAGCGGAGAGCCTATCCCACCTCAGAATCAGGCTTGGTGCTCAAAGGTCCCAGCCTATATACACTTTGGCTCTCTAGTCTTCTAGCCCTTCCTCTCAGCACCTTACCGGATTTAGCAGCACTGTCAGAAAGAGCTCTCCACCTCGGATGCTCCGGTCTAGTTCACGAGAGCCTCCAGGATATTCATTATAGAAGATTGTGTGAGTGAAGAGGCCACACGTCTGCCGTGGCAGTACCTAGAAGAAAGGGGTAAAAGAAAGAGACAGATGAGATTTGAAAGGCGAATGAAAAGTAGATAAGGGACAAAAGTCCTACAGCATTAGAATTCCCTGGGTTTGCAGAGGACTGTCTTGAGTTATACCAATAAAACTTACTATGTGCATGATGCCTTTTCACCCCTCTACCCCCTATTATGTGAACTTGGACTAGTAGTTGACAGGACACAGGTCAATGCAGGTTGGTGGCTATCTAAAATAGGAGTTTGATTCAAGTTTATATCGGGGGTCCCTCACCATAATGCCATTGTGAATGAAGCCACGGCGGTAGCGGGCAGGGCGGAGATGGGGATACTCCTCAGTGCTGGTCACCTGGATGCCCCACACAGATTTCCAGGCCTCATAGAGCTGCGTGTGGATGGGGTATACACCCGAGTGGTGGGGGGCCACAGCATACCCCAGATCCGTGGGAATCCCATGCTCCTGGGAATGGCATAGACTCTCACCAGGACCTGGTGAGTTTCAGGGAGTAGAGGGTAAAGAGGGTGGGGATGCCTCCACAGAAAGAAAAATAGGGTAGGGAAAGGGCACCCCATTAGGGAAAGGTTGAAAAGGAACCATTATCTCTGAGAAAAGTAAGGGGAAGAGATCCAAGGGTCTCACCAGAGCAAACTGTTTGTTGAGCCTCATCTGGTCAGCCAGCACGGAGCGGTTGTGGAACAGGTGTGGCTGCATGTGGCTCCACATGTGGGGGAACCACCAGAACTCTCTGCGGTGCTTCAGCAACATGTCGTCCCCCGCATCCTCCTCCTCCGTCCCTATGATCACACACTGACCGCTGACCACAGCCAGTCGGGCCATGTGCCCTCCTCTGTTCTGTAACAACACTGACCACCTTCCATTCTCGGGACAAGATTGCTGACCTCTGCCTACCTAAGCCTATTTGCCCCCCTGCTAACCTAAATTCATATCCACCGGTAGCTCCTCACAGCATTTTGACCCCACGCCCTGACCGTTGTCTCCAACTTGTTTGCCCAGGAAGATGAACAGTGAAGGGACAGATCAAACTAAGCTTGATATTCTGAGGGAGCAGGAGAATACACTCACCAGTATGATAGAACTTGCCCGAGAAGCCCAAGTTGAAGGTGAAGTTGGGCACTAAGGTCCTGAGTTTGTTCTGGGTGGTCAACAGAGCCTGGGAAGGGTAGCAGGAACATGAGAAATCATGAGAGCAGACTGAGCAGGAGAAAAATGAAAAGTAATATTCTCCCAGACTGAAAAGGGCAGGGATTAATACCTATGACAAGCTCAGAGTCAAGGGAGTCTGATAGGACAGAGCTTGAAACAGCTTCTGAGGAAAGAAATCTGAGTCAGGAAAAAGACTGACCTCAACATCAGCCACCTTCATGCGGGTACCTTCCTTGCCCACAAAGATGTCATCGATGTCTACCAAGATGTAGCGGTCAAGGTCGAGGCAGAGGCGCTTGCCGGTGAGGTACGCAACAGCATCAACAAAAACAAGTTTGTGGAGCCAGAAGGAAAGGCCATGGCCAAAGAGCACCCGCTGGATGCCATCATGAAGGCCCAGGTCCTGTATGACAGTGGGAAGCCGGGTCCGGCGAGGCACTGGTGCTGGCATAGGGGGCTCAGCTGGCCGAAGGCTGGCAAGAAGCACTGGTTCATATGTGCTATGATTGGATTGGAAGATGGTCCAGTCATCACCCGGCAGTGGCCCAGGTTCCAGGCGGCTGGGGCGTGTGAGATGCAGTAGGGGGGCAGAAGGATTCACTTGGTAGTCCCGGAGCCCCAGATTTGAGTGTAGGAAGAGGGGAAAGCCCTTGAGCTGG